CTCTCCAGGGGTCCCACAGCTCTGCTTACCCCCTGACCGTGTGCTCCCAGCCCCATCCCGCCACCGAGCCCTCACATCACCACCAGCCTCGGTCTTGCTGTTAAATGCCTTGGGTGGAAGTTATTAACTGCAAACACAATTACCTGGCTGGCAGCAGCTCTATGCCCTGACTTGAAATCTGGAGCCTCATTTTAAGGCTGGGACTGAAGGGTTTGGGTCCCGTCCCCCCACCCCCTTCCCATTTTTGGCTACCGGGCAAACTCACTGAGAGCAGGAAATTAGGAATAGAAACAGTCTCAGTATCAATACTCCGCCGAGGCTGTTTACCATGGGCTATTTGCACTAGATAATCGCTCAGAAGTGTCTCACCTCCTCAGCTCTTCAAGAGCCAAATGATGTCATGGAAGTGGCATCCGGAGCAGGAGCCAAAGTGAACCAGCACAACCCGTGCCCAGCAGGAAATCGTTCAGGAGCCCCAACAGACACCAAACAAAACTTCTCCCCGATGCTGCCCATTTGCCAGGGCACAATGGGGATCGCCAGGAAAGCTCTGGGAATTTGGGGGAATTGGACCTCAGTTGCACCCTCGTGGGGCTCCTTGGTCCCCGTGAGAAGTGCCCGGAGCATCCCTGCACCCAGAGACACGGGGCAGTGAGTGGAGACCAAGCAACCCAAGGAGCCCAATCCTGCCCAGCAGCCACCTCCAAACTGTGACAGACCCAGAGCATCTCCCCCTCCCCACCTCAGTTAGCATTTATTCCTACAGGAGGCAGCCACAGAAGCTAAGAACAATGAGACCCTCGCTGCTGGGAGCTGCTGAGCCACAGGTACACGAGCACAGAGAGCAGCAGAGGGCTCCTGAGGGGCTTCTTCCAGGGCCACCCCGAGTGCTCCCACCTTCCTGCACCCTGGGAGCTGCTTCAGCACAGCCAGACACAGGCTCTGGCATCGAAATCCCAGCAATCTCCCACTGTGAGATTTGGTAATCAGGGCAAGCAGCAGGACAGAGCACAACTGCCCCGTGCTCAGCAACCACAGCCATGCCCACCCACGACCCCAGCCTCTCCCACCACCTCTCATCCACCCGCACACCTCCAAACACTCCCTGTGGGCAATGCTGGGGCCAGGCAGCTGCTGCCCAGCCAAGGACAAAGAAAGAGCCCCCAAATCCCACCCCATGTCCCCAATGGGCTGCAGCAGGAACCACGCAGCCAGGGGAGCGCACGCAGCAAAGGGGACCCCAGGAGCTGAGGACAATTTAGGTGTCGGTGCTGCCCCCAGCCCCTTTCAGCTCCGTGGGTATGCTTTAAAATGCATGCACGGGGACCGCAGAGACAGGCCTACATGATCTGTCTTTGGCAGACCTCAAAAAGAAACATCTTGCCATTTCATCCCGCTATTTAAAAAAAAAATAAAAGCAAAGCGCGAAGGGGCATATCACACGATTAAATATCCACGGCAGCTAAGAGAAAGAGGCGGGCAGGAACACAGGAACCCAGAAAAAAAAATCTGGGTTTTATTATTAAACTATTATCTCAAATTTCTAATAAGCAGGTTGGAGTTTAAATTACAAGATCTCTAACAAAGTCAGGATCCAAACAGTTCAGGAGCCCTCAGATAACAATCGCCTTCCCCCAGATCGGTTTCAAGTCATTTCTCTGCACAGACAAAGCTCCCTTTCAGAGCAGCGAAGAGGGACCTCGGGGTTTTATTACCCGCGGAGCTGTGGCCCTGAAGATGCAGTAACAGGGATGGAAACAGGTCCTGCTTCCCAGCAGGGCACCTGAGCAGCAGCAGGGATGGGACAGCGAGGCCACAAGGGGCTTGGGGACAGCCCAGCCCCGCAAGATGTGCCCTAAGCCCCTGCTAAATGCAGCCTTGCAAGGACTCCAAGATTTGGGAGAAGAGAAGGGAGCAGGGACCCCTCTGCCTCATGGCCACAGGGTGATATCAGAGCAAAGCTCCTTGGGGGAAAGACTGGAGGGAAGCGAAGGAGCAGCTCCATCCCCACAGCAGCCACATTTGGATGATTTGAGGGAGGCAGCCAGAGCCAAACGATGTGCCACGGCTTGTTAGGGGCTGGCTTAAGCCTTGAAGCATCCCTTTTACTGGTAATCTCGCAGGAAGGATACACCAAGCCTCTGATAAGTTTGAGCAGAGCTTTGACTTGAAGGGAAGAGACATCTGATCCTCACTGGGGAAGGTGAAACCAGGCTAGGAGCAAACCTTTTGCCAGGTGGTAACGGAGCTCACGGCCCAAACAGCAGTGCTGCCTCAGTTTCAAGGACCACAAATCACTCCTCCCACAAAACATTGGATCTGGCTTCCTTAATGCCTTCTTCAGAAGTATCCTGAACTGGAAAAGCCAGGGTTAGAGCAATCCCTTTAGGGCAGGAGTTCCCAGGTGGGTTGGAGGACCTGCAGATTGTTCCCTGATTTCTCCCAGTTCCCATACCCAATACCTCTGAGCTCTGTGTGCGTGGCTTATACAGAGATTCAGGGTGCCTTTGAAACGTAGATACCCCAAACCCAAGGGGTTTGAAGACACCAAATGCGTTTCACACCCTCAATACAGGGAAGGATTTGCCCCCAAATCCTGCCCCTTCCAGGGAAGGATTAGCCAGAACCGCAGAGCAGCCAGAGGCAGGGGCAAGGGGTTGGATGCAGGAAGAGGAGCACGTCCTGGGCTACACCTGGAAATGGATGCTCCTCGCACAGCTCGGTCCCACTGCACCACCCCAAATAACCACCCATCCTATCCATCCCACTGCGATACCAAAGGCGCACAAAAAACAGGGTAAATGCCCCAAATCAGGCACTCAAAGCCATCCCAAGGGGACAACCACCATGCACTCAGGACCTTGCTTTGGCTGCAGCTGGCAGGCGAGAGCAGCTCTTCCACCAGCAGCCCGGGAGGCTGGAGGAAGGCCACTTCGGTCCAGCTCTGCCAGCAGCCTATATATCACCCTGAAAAACTTCCCCTGCACCTTGCCAGCCCTGCCTCCCTCCAAGATTCCTCTAATTAATTCAGGAGAAAATTAATTACGGCGGGATTTTCAGAGGCCCGGCATCTAATGATGGACTCCCTCTGCTCTAAACCAGATAATCTCAGGCTCCCATTTGCTCTGCCAAACCTCGCTCTCTCCGCCTCCCCCTTCCCACCCCAGCACAATGCCGCCGTCTAAATTAGGCAGGGAAAGAGTCGCTTGGCAAAAGCGAATCCGAGCACCAAGGTCAGGCCCCGAAAAACAACAGAACTGCCTAAAGAAACCCCAGCGTTAATCCCGTCATGCTTCCGCCAAAGATTCCCCTTTTCAAGTGTTTTCTTCCTGGTAAACAAAGTTCTCTCCATTGGGCTGTGAATTTCAGGACACGGTTGCTTGGTAATAGCGGGCTGCAAACCAGGAGCTTCGCCCTCCCCATCACCCTTCCCAACCCTTGGAGGAGAGCAGAGGGTTTATTAGAAATAATTAAAAGGCTACAGAAATCCAGAGGCAGGACAGAGCTGATTTAAGCCACGATCATTTCTGCTTCAGGTGGACGTGGCTCTCAGTAATTGGGATTTGCAGAGATGCTCCCCGTCCCCTTTCAGCTCCAAAGCTGAGCAGACCAAAGCATCTCTGTGCTTGCCACTGTCCTTGCTGCAAGCGCATCACTGGTGCAGCTTCACCCACACACTGGTTTCCAGCTCAGGCTCCCAGTTTCCCCTCCATAAATGCTGCCCAAGAAGCAGGAGCTGTGGGAGCTGCCCTGTGCCTGGTTGGTACCCAGGGAGGGATGCAGCAACCGGGCACCCAACCCACCTCCAAACAGTGAGGGCTCAAAGAGGAAAGTTGAGGCACCCACAGCTTCTCTGGGTAACCTGTTCCAGTGCCTCAGCACCTGTAGAGTGAAGAATTTATTCCCTATATCTAATCTAAATCTACCCTTAGCTTAAAAAATCCTTATCCTATCACTACACTCCCCAGTAAAGCTGTGGGTGCTGGAGCCATCTCCCCACATCTCCGAGCATCCCCTGCTCCTCACGAGGAAGGCAGAGCAGAGTGCACAGGTGAGAGCCCCCGAGGGCACTGCACCACCGTGCACATCCCCAGAGCAACCACAGGGGAGTAGATATTTGGAAAAAAATCCCTTTGCCTGCCCTACTTAAATCTCAGGGACTATTTTGGCAGTGCTGGGAGCCCCGGAGGACACATCGATGTTTGTGGTACCCAGGCCAAGAGCAGAGGGGCCCCTGCGTGCCGCGGGCTCCCGGCAGCACCCGCGAGGAGCAGCACAGGCGCCGCGTCCCGAACTGCTGCTGGCAGCTTGCTCGTAGGGAAACAATAACCCCCAGCTCGGCCTTAAACGGGTCAGGAGCCTTTCAGTCCACGGACTGGCACCGCCTCAGCTTCTGAAGCCCAGATCCCTCTGCCATGAATAGGAGCTCGGCGCCTAAGTCCATCTGGCCCCCACTTCACAGCATCGTCCCAGACGCCCAGTCTGGGCAGCTCCGGGGGTGCTCCCAACCCTCCTGGAGATCACGCAGCTGCTTCCAGTCGTCCTCGAGTCCTGCAAGGCGCTGTGACCATGCCACGATCCCAGGCCCCCGCGAGCTCCGTGTCCCTGCGCTTTGGCAGGCACCAACCCGAGTCTGGCACAGGGACCGGGAGCTGTTCAGAGCATCTCCCTCCCCTTGGGCGGCTTGGAGGAGCCTTTCTGCTGAAGGCTTGCTCCAGCTCCTCGCTAATTACATTAGTCTCTCTCAGCCGTTATATAATAAATGAAAAATGCGTTTGCCTGGGTGTCAGAAGAGGGGACTGCCAGGAGCCAGGGCTCACGAGAAGCAAAGCTGCGCCCCCAGCTCGCCACGACGGGTAAGACCCCACCAGCACCAAAGGTGCCTTTTCCCCCCCATCTGTTCACTAACAGGTGGCACAGACAAGATTTTCAGAGATCAAAGCAAGCTTTCACTTATTTAAGCCCCTTAAAATGCCATTTAAAGTTTGACCATGTGTTACTTTGCCTGGGGTGAGGAGACATCTTTCTCCCCGGAGCTGTGGGGCACTCAGCTTCTCTGCAGCGTGTTCAAAGCATCCTCTGTGCTCACCTCCCTTCTTCACGGCTCTCACCAGCCCAGGAGAAGCAGGGGAAGAAGCTGAAACACAGACAAGAAGCTCAGGCTCAGCAGGGCTTTAGCACATCAGCATTGCTGTCTTAGCCCTGGCTGTGGAGCCACGCGCCCTGCACCAGTGCTTGGCTGGAAAAATAGCCAAGGGAAAAAAGAGTTTTAGTGTGGAAACCAGACATGGATGTATACAGAGCTACTGGTAAAGTCTCTTGAAATTTGGGGAGATAACTTTTCATCCATAAGATAAAGGAACTCTAACTCTTGCAATACTCAGCTTTTCACCAAAATTGTTCTCCTAAGCCAAGATTTTGACACAGAAGACAAAGAGCAAGTACTTTTAGATTACACTAGGTAAAAACATCTCCCCTGTAACCACATGCAGACCCCCACCCTGCTCTCCCTGCCTGCCTCGGGCTCTGTGCTGCTGCAAAACCTCTCCCCTGCCACAGGAAAGCAGCAACAAGCACCTTCAGGAGATGGAAACAGCCAGGGCAGGAACAAAGAGGTTACGCAGCTGGTGCCAGAGATGCAGCCACAGGACTGCCAGCCCTGCATTTTGTCTTTGCACCCCAAAATAGCCCCTCTGCCACCAGCCTCTCGAGATGCCCCAAACCCAAGAAGCAAACACGGGCTGCAGAGCACAGCAAGAAGATAAAGCCCCAATTGTGCATCCTTCCCCCGGCCAAAACAACGCTGGGTCGCCTGCGTCATCCTCCAGACAGCAGCACCCACAAGGCCGGGATCTATTTTCTGTTTGTTTTCCCAATTTCTCAGCAGCAAAGCAGGCCAGTTGGAAAGAAAAGTACTAAAAAACAGAGGGGAGGAGAAGGGGGGTGGGTGGGAATTAACTCCTCGCGATCGGGTTGTCCATCTTCAGGAGATTTTAATCCTGCCAAAGCAAGGTCAAAGTTGAAGGTGGGGGTAAAGGGCTTGGGTTTGCCCTTGGGAGCAGCTCATAGCAGGCGGTACTCATGGGGACCTCATGCTTCCAACCACCTCACCCATAAAACCTCTGCTCTGGGATCTCTTCTGTAATGGTTTCACATTTCTTTTTAACTTTCTCCTTGCAGTGAGACAGCAGCCAGCTCCTCGACAGCATCACCTCATCCCTGGGCTGGTGGAAGACCTTGAGCCCTTTGCTGGAGGAGATGCAGGCAGAAGGGAAGGGGGCAGCAAATTCCCCAGGGGCATCACTGGGGCAGCGGTGATGTTATGGCCTCACCCCCAGCCCCATGATGGGGTGACCCCCCCATAGCCCACCCCATGACTTCCCCATCACCCCCCCAGCATCCCCATGGATGGCACCAGTGGGACAATGCTTAGGGACAGGGGGGTGGCTGTGTGGCACCCACACATGCTCTCAGCAAAAAGGGGCAGACCCACAAGCAAGGCATCCACTCACTGCAAAGGTCAAGGTTTGGGGGCATTTTGGGGGTGCAAACTCATCAAAAACCCCCAACTGTCTCCAAACACCGTGGTTGTGTGTTGCCAGCCTGCTCACAGGTCCTGCTGTAAGTCCGCATCAAATGGGCATCACCAGCCTGAGCCGGGCAGGGGCTGGCACCAAACTGACCCCAGGGGTTGGGGTTTTTAAACCCAAACTCATCCCAGGTCAGCTTCAGGCTGGGAGCATGATGTAAGGCAGTGGTCACACTGCGGAGGGAGCCCAGGCTGCAGCCTGGTGACAGCATCAGCACGGAAAGTCCCAGTGACACCGAGCCGCCACCACAGAGCTGCAGGCAGGGTCCGCACCGAGGCTTCAGGGCTCGGATTTCTTGTTAATGAAATCACTGCTAAATAAAAAGATCCAGAGGGGAAAGGAGGGGGAACAGGGGGCAGTCAGCATGGATGTCAGCTCTGGGAGCACACGGGGAAGCAGATTAATGTGGCAGCAGTGTACAGAGGTCTGGGCTGAGCCTCTTGGGCACATCCAAGAGCAGTGTCCCCTCTCCGGTCCCCCACCTGGCATGGGAACAGCGTGACTCAACGGGTGACTCACCCGTCTCAACCCAAGCCAGTGATGAAGCATTTTGTTCAGCCGAGGTCTGGAGATTAACCCAAGCTCCCCAGAAGCTGCGTGTGCAGGCTCAGGACCCCGCTGCACCCCCAGCCCAGGAGCAGCCCCCACAGCCCCGGTGGCCCTGGCACGGTGCCGGTGGCAGCTGGGCGCATCGAGCCACACATGTGCCTTGCTGGGGGCTCACCTGCTCAAACACCCTGCACGTCATTCCCCACGAGGTGCTGTTGCCAAAACAGAGGCTCAGCCACTCCCAAGAGATGGGAGGAAAACCTGGCTGGCAGCAGAGGATGGGGAGGGAGAGGCGCAGGGGTCCTGCTGCTGCCACCCAGCCCCTGGGGACGGAAAGGTGGCACCTGGAGCAGTCCCACACAAGGGGCACGCTACATCCAGATGGTGATGAACATCACCAGGCTAACAGCTACAATGGATCAAGAAGGACCCAATGCCCAACACTAAGGGTCAGCCCCAAACTCAGTACATATTGTTGGTAGCAACCAAAAAGGGAAAAAAAAATCTATTTGGAGACAGGAACAGAGCTTCGGGGGGCAATGCTCCAAGCTGCGCCATCCTCAGCTCCTCCCTGCTGCAGCAGCGCAGGTCAGGTAACGCACTGCCTGCAACATAACCCTGGGCTCATCAGTCAGCTGAGACTGAAGTCACGGTTACCCGCAGCTTGGTGTGTTTGTTTAGCACCCTGGAGTCACGAGAAACACCAGGTTTTCTCAGGGAGCACCCGTCCATCCCAGCTGCACCCACTGCCTTTTGTCCTAGGGGTGGTCCCCAAGGACAGGAGCCTGGCCACCCGGGTACCCCTGCTCCCCAAACGAGACCCAGGGGTCTTTTCCAGCACATCTCACCTGCTGCTCCTTCACAGGAGGTTTTTGCCACAAATACTAATTTAATTTGGATTACTGGGGGCCTGGTGCCATGAGGTCAGTCACAAAACACAGGGGTATCACAGATATCAGGATAATCTAATAGACCTGGCTGTCCACCAAGGGGTGAGCTGCTCAACAGCAAAGACAAAGGGGCCAGAGCACCTCCAGGCTTCTGGTGTGCTCAGTGAGGTTTGCCAAGAACAGGCTGGGGATGCATTTTTTGGGAGCAGCCCCACAAACCATCGCGTTTGCGCACAAAGGACCTGCACCTCCCCAAAGCACCGACAGAGCAAACCTGGGTGCTGCTAAGCAATGCAGCACAGGCAGGTTTATTTGCTGTCCAGGCAGCAGGCAGGGAAGCTGCAGAGCCACCCCAAATGGGCATCAGCACCACAAGAAGCCGCAGCCCTGCATCTCATCCCTCCACTCCACGGTTACAGCCAGACCCTCTGCCCCTGCTCCACCCAGCACCGAGCAGGTTCCTCCATCTGTGCTTGGGCAAAAAGCAGCAAAACCCATTTTGAAAAGCAGCTTGTTCTGAAAATACAGCATCCCTCAGAGCTACAGGAGAGCCCCCAGTTAAAGCAGGCTGAGCGCCTGCTGCTCCTCAGCTCCTGCTGCCAGCGCCAGCACCTCCCCTTGGCTCTCCCTCCCCTTGGCTCTCTCCCCTGGCTGCCATTGAGAAAAGCCCCGGGAGGAAGAGGATTTGTCAGCCTGTTCCTGCCCAACAGGTTCGCTCTCCTGTCCCACGTTATTACTGTTCCCAGGCGGCCTCCCCCCCGTAGGCATCTCGGGGCACGTCCGGAAGCGATTACGATCAGCTACAACAACGTTCGAGCGGCTCCAGAGCCCGGCCGATGCAGAAAACACCCCGTCCCTCCGTTTTATGAATGAGCAAACCCGGGTGCTTTCTATAAATGTCAAGATAAATTACCTCTGGGCATTCCCCTCCCACCGCCGCAGCTTTTCATGGAGACATCAACCCGAGTTCCTTTGTCCTGCAGAGCTGGGGGGGGTACCAAAGGAGCAGGCAATAATCGTGCCCAGATCCCCAAGGTTTAGCCCCCCCGATGCTATCTCTGACACTCACAGGGAAGCTTTTTGCTTTGGGAGGGAAGGGCAGGGCCTCCAGCTGCAGCAGCACTCTCAGGGGGAGAACAGCAAAAGCTTCGTGGGGAGCAGCCCACAGTTTCCTCGCTCCCCCAGGCTCAGTGGCTGTCAGATTTCCCCCCACTGGTGAGCATCTCAGGGGGCTCTGGGAGGGATGCCTCACCCCCCATGCTGTCACTCCCTGCCCTGCCATCCTTCCCCCCCTCCCTGGAGCTCTTTTTTTCCCCAAACATCTGGAGCAGCAGCAGCGCCCTTCAGTAAAGGTGATTCACCTCCTTTCAGCATTGATAAGGCACGTCTAAAAATACACGGAGATAGCGATCTGAGGCACAGGTGTCGGCTTTTCTGGCACAGCACAACAGGGCCTGGAGAGCAGGGAAATAACCAAGCAGTGTGCTCAACGACATGAGCTCATATTTTGGAGTTAGGAGCAGGGTACGGAAAGAAAATCCCATCTCAGGGTGCTCCTCGGCACAGGGGGCTGCCAGCAGCAGGCTGCTCGTAGCCAACAGACGGCACCAAGCAAGCATCAAAGCCTCTTGGCCAGGGGTGAGGAAGAGCTAGGAGGCATTTTGGGCACATTACCAGTGCCACCAGCACATCAGCTCAGCCAGGGCTACCCAGGGATCCCAGCAGCAGCACTGCACCTGCACCACATCGCTGGGTCCCCCCCAAAAACAACCCAGGGACAGGGAGCTGGGAAGAACACCAGCAGCTCCCTTCAGGCCCTGACATGCCAGACAGGCTCACTTCGGTGCTGTACCTTATCCAAACATCTTCATCTCTTTCATAAACTCGATCCCTCCTTATCAGCCGTCGGGAGGAACCGCAGGAGCTCTAGCGGCTGAAGCGCAGGGCAGAGCGCAGCTCACCAAACCCCCCCCCAGCTCCCCGGGGGTCAGCGGCAGTTCAGTCCCCGCAGATTCATTCACGTGTTCTCAATCACGTACTGGGAAATGAGGCTGGAGGTGAGAGCTTTCTCTGTGCTCACAGGAGGGGGGGTTCTGCAAATATTAATT